CTTCCTTGTCTAATACCGGACTCGTATTCCCGACGTTCCCTTCTTATTAAGACAATTACAGATCGTGCCAAGAGGTTTCAAAAGGTACAAATTTTATATGAACATATTAAGCTTGTGTTAAAGTTAATGATCTGATGATAGTTTCAGAGGAGAGAACGGTTGGTTGTAGAAGGTTATCAGTTAAAATTAACACCAAACTCGGGCCTGTATCCGTGATCTCTATTAACCTGTGCGAATGTCGAGCCAATACCAATGAGTTGGGAGCTGGAACAGCTCTTGCTGGCCATCACTCCATCAATTACACTAGGGTCACTTCCCGTGATTCGGAAGCAAAACTGAATCCAAACAATGGTATGAGCTGGGAATAGACTGGTCAGGTTTGATGCTGACGATCTGAATAATATTTAGTTTCAAACGTATCAGACAAGCCGATCAAAAAAGATGGTATCCTTCTGTGCAGCACAACCCATATATATATATATATATATATATATATATATATATATATATATATATATATATATATATATATATATATATTTAAAATGTGTGTATTTAGGCAGCATTTTTTCATTGATACATGTTTCATTAAATAATATAGACAAGTGTTGTCTATTTATTTTATGTAAATTCTTTTCATATCGTCTGATAATCTTAATAACTTTGTCATTAAACGAAGAAAGAAAATCACAATATTGATACATAGTTTTTAATCCTATCTAAGCTTTCGGACAAGTGCTGAAGATAACGGAAGATATTTACAGTTGTTAAAAAACCATCCATCTACCTAAGATACGTTGTTGATATACTTATGTTAGTTAAAAAAACAGATGAAATACTTCAAAAAGTTTACAAAATAACTCTGTCCTTAAACTGACGTTTGAACTCAATACTACTAATAAAATTCCCTTCATTGACATATTGATAAACACAAATAATAACAAATTTACTATTTCGACATACAAAAAAAAACTATCAGCATAAATTCATGTACACTTAACTACAAAAGCGAATGTTCATATTACTACAAAACAGCAATTATAAAAAATCTAATACATCGTGCAGAAACTAATTGATCTACAAAACAGATTTTTTACTGTGAGCTAAAGAATATATAACTGACACTTATTAATAATAGATTTCCAAAGTATATAGATAATGAACAAATAAATGTTTTGTTACAAGCCATTTGCTATGTTTCCTATTTGTATTTATTTCAGCAACCGTGCGAGGGTAACGGGAAACATGATTCAGGAATATTTGCATTAATTCTAGGTACTTCTTTTGACCCAGATTATACCACGGGATTTTTAAGGTATGTCACCTCTTCAATCCATGCTGAATGAATTTAATTCAACCAATGCTAAATATATTGATATTGCAACAAATCGTAATAAATTCCGTGATATAATAACCAGTAAAATCATTTTACTTATAAACAGATTTTAAACGTGCCTGAATAAATTCCACATTTATTCTTCAGGCAAAAGAACGTGCTACATATGTTTTATTTTATTTGTATGCAATTTATAAGTACTTCAGTTTATATATAATTATTATTTTAGAAGAGATTTATGCAATACTTTTAGCCAAGACGTGACAACGAATAAAAAAAAAATTGATTGAAGATAGAATTCTCTAATTCACAACAACTTTTGTTAACAATCATTACAATCTGTAACAATACCGTCGGAAAATGAACAATTATTCATTTAAAATTTTAGATGATATGATAACAACGGACTAGTTCATAATGAAATGATTTAAGAAAATGAATGAAATTCGAATGTTATTTAAGAATTATTTTTATTGGATGACTCTTTCATCATTTTTAGAAAGAAAATCTATAGTAATTTAGCACCAGAGACAGTACTGTATAGGCACGTTTCAGTATTTTTTTTTAATTTCATTTCGCCGTTTTCATTATAATATAGATATAGCTTACATTGTTGTAAATCCGTCAGAATATAATGTCACGTATAGATACATATATATTTTGTGTATGCAAACATATACACTCCAACAAATATACACAAGTTTTCTATATATATATAATTTATTATTGATTCATGGACACACGCAAATGTATAATATATATATATATATATATATATATATATATATATATATATATATATATATATATATATATATATATATATATATATATATATGTCTCTGTATACATTTGTGCGTGTGTCCATGAAACAATAGTACAGTATTATTGTCAGAACGAAAATAATGACCTAAGTAGCGTATTATAAAACATTATTTTCTCTTCGACAGTCCGATATATTAGCTGTCAAATCTCAGATTTGCGCAAAGATGCCTGACTTTCTGGTCGTCTCTTAATCTTTCTAGTCTCATCTTCATATCCCTCTGTTTTATATCCTGTCTCCTTAATCTGATGCATCAGCGAAATGCCCTTTTCTGAATTTGTTCGTTCATTATTCTTAGTTACCGAATACTTTGACTTATGTATGCTGGGGCAAATAAAGTTAGTTGTATCACAGGCACGCACGAACATAATTATATATATATATATATATATATATATATATATATATATATATATATATATATATATATATATATATATATATATATATATATATATATATATATATATATATATATATATATATATATATATATATATATATATATATATGTATGTGTGTGTGTGTGCACTGAAAATATACTTATATTGTTTAATATTCATTTACAGACCGGCACATACATATGTACGTATGTTTAGATACGCAGGAAAAGAAAGAATGAGGTCAGATAATCATTTTGTAATTATGAATATTATTAGTTAGCTTTTGCTTTCTGTATGTGCCAGTGGCCCACAAGGCTTTTTGGGATATGGCCAAGCCTCTTGGTCAGTGTGTTAATGGCTGCAGCCATCAGAATGAATTATTTAGAAAGATAAACAAGGCGAACAATATACAGCGGTGATAGTGGAGAAGCTGAACTGAAAACGAGGTTAGCGGGAATCGGTACTTCTTCAGAAAAGAAAGCAAGTGTTTATTTGGTCTCATATTAAAAAAAAAAAAAAAAATTTGAAGCATGTTCAGTCAATACTTATAATGTTTCTTATTATCATATGGATGACTAGTTAACATGCAGGTACGCTTGATTTCATATAATTTATTGTTTCTGATTTCAAAGTAGAACTTTTTTTTCTCATTGCTAAAATATAATAACCCATAAAATTAATCTGGACATTCATAAAACTTACATCCATTGATTATGTAAATTAAAATATGCAGTACAAATGTCAATGCTATTCATTGACAGAAAATTGAACTATGATACCTTAACATTCTTAAAACTATTAACTTATGATATAAGATGGAATCTCCCTCCCCAATCAATCATTTGAAAGGAAAACATATTCCCTTGTTTAATTCCAATTTTGTCACACCAAAAACTAGATACAAAGGATCTGCGAGGTCGGACTTGATAATTATTCTTCAACCCTCTCGTCCATCAGTTTTAAAAGCATATGTGTTTATGTCGCTTCCTTTTGAATTTTTAGGATGAGTAATTATTTACATTCAGATTAATGTCCTCATCGTTAATTTTATCACCGACACTTTTTAGGAGTCGGCATATCCTTAAATCATCCATATCGTATTTATTTCTATGCTATTACTAAATAGTTATCGCCTAGGTTATCCATTGTTCCATCAGATATAAGATTATCTAGTGTTCTGTTTAGTATGTTTCTTTTTTTACTTCATTTCTCTCCAGCTTGATTTCATTGTATCTCTCCCAATTGGAGATTTTTTTATGTTCTTCCAGCCGTACTATTTAGTTTTTTTTTAAAAAAAAAACTCTTCATCTTACATTTTCTTTACAGAAAATCCAGAGGTGAACTACAAAGGATAACTATGGAATTTCTTCACTGTGATCAATTTCAATGAAAAAGCAACACCCACTCCAAACACTTACACAAAATAACAACACGCCCAGCAATAATCACAAAAACAGTCTGATATTACCTTCAGCATAAATTCACCAATGAAAATTTCCCAAATGTTTTTGTATTTTTAATTTCCCTCATTGTTTTTGTTATACACCATATTAAAATATTCCTCTAAAAAATAGATCGATACCAGGCGCAGGAGAGAACAATCATTTCAGATGATTTGCGCGTTAATATAAACATTTAGTTTATTACGAGTGTTATTTTGCTATTTAGTATGCTAATGTGGTGTGAACTGAAATAAAATTTGAAAAAATTATTAATATTGATCACTGATTTAAATGCATTGAATACGGAGCCGATTGTGCTAGAAATTATTTGGTAAGTAAAATAAATGAGTTTTCTGCTTTAGGTTGTGTACTTATTGGATGTAGTGATGATGAAGAACATCGGAAAATGACACAAGATCCTTTACGGTGCACCTGTTTATAACTTCGTAGTCTGTTAACTATTTAAAATGACTTTACCATAGCAGCTTTGTTTGACAATTTGCTGTTTGCTTACTTCAATTCTTCTTGTAAAGGACATTGTATCTATCCGTTATATTACGACCAACCTCACAGGAAAGCAGTTGAAAGTAGAGAGAGTTTTTTACCTTTTTTAATTAATGGTTCGCATAACATCTTACAGAGACATTGCTAGATATTTCTTCGTAAAATTAAAACTGTTTCCATCATGCCAGTTAAGTCTTTCCTTGTTTCTTCCGTTTTAATTTTTTATTAAATATTTTCTGTTGACAATAATAATTTAAGCAAAGGCAACCTCTCATAATAAGTATAAGAATTTAACTAAAAAACAGGCCATTAAAGAACATTCCCTTTTCACTCTTTTGACGTTCTCATTTTGAATTTCGATTTTCTGTCCTTTTGTCAGATATTTTTTCGCTCTCGTCCTCCAACAAATTCAAACCATTTTTATTTGTTTGAGCTTTCGCCTTTCCCTTTTTTAAGGAAACACTTGTCTACCTGTATGTTCCCTTTAAGCATGAAAAAAGAAAATAATAGGTTTATGCACCAAACGACATCACGTGGCTTACAGAGACGAGTTGATGGTGAACCGATGGATAGGCGAACGGGCGACGACCATTGGCGTTCGTGTATTTTTCGTGACAGGCTTGACAACGACAAAATTCAAGTTAACAAGCGATGACAGCAAAAATGACAGCTAGGATAGGAGAGATCAAGGTGCAGGAGAAGAAAATGAGAGCAAGATGCAAAATCAGGGTGAGTTGTGTCTCCGGACGGTAGGGGAATAGGACTGGTTTGGTGTTGGGATAAAAAGATGAAAGAAGGAAAGGAGCCATTTCTGGCGCTGTCTTGACACCGAAGTGTCTCTTGTTGATATCTCCACAGAAACGAACAGTCGCGTGTAAGCGAAGCACTGCTCAACGCTGTGGGACCAGTATACTGTCTCTTCCATTCCTCCTAATCAGAGAAAAATAGATGTAGAAATTATTATAATGGAAGACGGTGGCATTTTTAGATTCTACAAGACGGTTTGTTTTCCCCTGACAGTTCTCAACTCTTCTCTCCTGTTATTAAGAACACTCGTCGCTTTACACGGAAATTAATATATAGACATTGATTGGTTCATTTCGAAGCATACTGAGGTCAGATCACACTCATATATTCGCAAACACACGGGTGTGCGCATACATATTAATTTAGCTCGCAAAAGAAAACGAAGGCTCTTTTTACATAGATACTAATTTAAATACACAAAACATGCCTTTATAGGCATGTTTTGTGTAATTGAAATTACACACGTAAATTAATTTAAATTTACAGCATGATCATTAAAAGATGAAGCATTCTGTTGATGTATAAAACCTATAATCATGCATAACTGGAACTTAGCATTATGTTTCTAACAGAATTTTCCTGTTTCTTAATATTTGCTTAATTTTTGAAAGACTTCTTTTGCTATTCCAGTGTACCTTCCAATTTCGGCAATTGTAAATCTATGCATTAATTAAATAATGTTAACAAATATGTACAGATCTATATGACGAATTAGTGAGTGAAAGAATATGTTTGTGAGAGAGAGAAAGAAAGATTGAGTGAGTGAATGAGTGAGTGAATGAGTGAGTGAGCGAGTGAGAGTGAGAATTACTTGTGGATAGATATTGGAGGCTAGCAGTTTGTGTATTTTTCCGTGTGCCTGTGTCATGTTACACTTAAAAGATACGTCCACTTGATCTCTTTCTTTGTCGTGTATACTCACAAAATATCTAACTGCGATGTCGACAATGGGGGGTTGGCCTAGCAGAGCATTTGAATTGCCAAACGAAATTGAGGGCTACAGTAAAACATCTGAGATAAAATAAAGTGAGATGTTCATTTTCTGTTCAAGTGCATTCAGTTTCATTTAACTGATTTAGGCTGATAATATCAATTTCAAGCTTCAAGTTCAAACTGTGGAACTGGGTGTAAAATAGTTAATAATAATAAAGTAAAGTGGGATTTATTATCTCTTACTCGCCCCCCAAAAATTATATTGTATTAGATCATGTGGTGCAACCAAAATCTGGCCTATTCGCTATGATTCTCAAGAATATCGACCCTCAAGTATTATGAAAGCGAACTCGTATAATTATCAAGTAGATTCCCGATATATCATCGAAACAACGATCCCCAATTGTGTAAGAAGAAATAGGAGAGATATTCATTCCAAAACTAACCTTTATTTCAACAGATTTTCATTTTGAATTTCAGCCAATTAAATTCCCAGTAAAATCTATCAGCTTTCTTTAACCGTTAAATAATCAGGACCCAAACGGCCTTTATGTTTTGCCATTGCCAGCTCCCGATTCATTTTTTAGTCTTCATCCTTAAACTTTCCATGCATCCAACAGGTAAGGTTACAGAAGATGTTTTTAACGGCGTATTAACACTTATGATTCATTTCACGTTAATCATGTGAAATTACATACATGCAGACAAACACACACGCGAGCGCGCGCGCACACACACACATATATATATATATATATATTTCAAGTAATAAATATATGTCGGATTAAAAAACAATATCCATTAATTCGAGAAATCTGAACGAGTCAGTGTGCTTTTAAAAAGTAAAATAAGATCTTATGAATGTTATGATGTAGGTGTTAGTGTTTTGGCTATGTCTTTTATATTTGGTTTCTATTTTTTTCATTTCATAATTTGTTTTATGAAATTCTTGTTTTTCAATTCTTCTGAACTGTTAATTACTCCTTTAGAGAAGTTTAAGAATTGGTGTGGGTAGGTTTTAATTTTAATGTCGCAGAATTGCCTTATCCCCAGGATCGTTTCTGCGACGTCAACTAGAAGTGTCTTATTTTTGTATATTTCTTTATCGTTTTATGGAGTATGTTGTTTGATAATATCTTTTCTATTAAGAATGGTCACAGTTTTGTGATCGGCTTATTTTCATTGGATTCCAACACAATGAATGTTGGAAATTTTGTTTGATCTTTTTCGCTCTATGCTTTCGGGTTTTCGTGAGGTCTCTTTGGTATTTCATATTGTGCATAGGAATTGTGTATTCATTGTAAGCCGTGTAACCTACTCGCATCGGAGAGCCATCTAGGTGAGTGTTGCCTTCTAAATAAGTTTATGCGTTTTATGTAGTGATTTCAATTTTTCTTGGTGCTAGTTAAGGTTTGTGTGATAGATGTCTGACAAGGACTGCGATGACCAGCTTGTTGATAGTATTAGACTTTATCGACTGCCCATCTAACCTAGATAAAGGGCAAACTGGATTGTTTCTTAGCTACCTGGATCTCACTTTCAGGAATGACAAATCACCACACACGACAAAGAGGTGGCTCTACTGGCGGGGAGTGTAACCCTTCTGCAACCCCAGCGAACAAGGTGAGGCACCCAATAGGAGAAAAATATACGAGGAAAAGTAAAAAAAAATTATCCGCACTTTGTTTTTTTTTTCAATTTATTTACACAAAATACGTCGTTTTCTATATACTCTCTCTCTCTCTCTCCTTTTCGATGCACTTGGTTCAGCGGTCCACAAACTTGCGTATACCCCCGCCCCAAGAAGAAGGTTTTTCTATTGGTTGTGCAGTCATTTCTGCACTAATACTTGCACTTTATCCGTAGGAAATCGACGACCATGTAACGCATCTTTGAGTCAGTCAAAGGGATGATATTCAGAAGATGCGAGATCTAGACTGTAGGCAGTTGTGTTCCCGAACCTCAAAACCCAATTGGTTAATGCTTTCGACGGTCTGGCCGGCCGTATGTGGACGTGTATTCTCATACAACATCAAAATTTTCTTCGATAATAACTCGCCGGTTCGCCATTATCCTTTCTCGAGCTTGCTTAATTTCCTCGTCAGTAGTGGCGCTTAACGAATATCCGGCTCCTTCTCCGTGCGTCATACTTCTCCAGACATTTTTAAACATCTTGATCTATTCATACACACATCTACGCGGTAGTACACCGCCGCCGTATTGTGTTAAATGCCACTGATGAATTTCAGTCCCTGACAAAAATTTCGACAGGAGAAATCGTGTCACTGCTATTTGTTTCTCATTGGAGTACACTGCTAGCGTAGCGGTCATGTTTACACTGTAAAAGCAGCATAAAAGAAACTGGCGCGATCAAGCTCAGACTTCGATTACGTGACCACAATAGAGCCAACTATAAGCACGCATGAGCACAATCAGTGTGACAAACCTAAATATATGTTATAGCGAAAGTGCGGATATTTTTTTTTACTTGCCTTTCTTACATATATATATATATATATACCTATATATATATATATATATATATATATATATATATATATATATATATATATATATATATATGTGTGTGTGTGTGTGTGTGTTTATGTGTGTGTGTGTGTGTGTGCATATATAAGCACCAATTGTACTTTTGCAGATATTTACTAATAATTACGTTTCATATGTTTATCGAAAGTATATGTATATGAATCCATTATATTATTACACGTATCGTTATCAGTAACATTCACAGTTTCACATTCTGTATCACATGATATAATGCCGGATAAAGATATTCACATTGGTAAGTCATTATTTTAATCCATGCTGCAAACGGTGTTAATCTGCCTAGCTGAAGTAAATAATCAATATCTGACAGGACTTCACAAAAATGGTTTATAATTTTTAAAAAGTGGGGATGTTGCCCTTGAAATAAAACTCTGAATTAAATGACCATTTGTTTGTAATCATTATGGGGTAAAACAAAACTTCTACTAGACAGCGACCAAACATACTCTAATACTTCCGGAATATGTAGGATTGTTGAAAGATTCTTTATTCGGCTTTTAAATATTAGAAAATATCCAGAAAGATTCATTATGTGATCTGAGAAAAGCAAACGCATTGTTTAATGGATATATGCAATATTATTGGAAACCGTTAGATATGCATTTTCCAAATGCCATGAAGATTCACACAGCACGTTCATCGACAATACACAAGACATGTGACACAAAAATGAGGATTCTAAAATAAAATGATTATTGTTTTTCGGGATTTCATTCTCATTGGACTCTTGAAATAGTGCCAGATTTTCGATCTATTAACCTAATCGTTTTCTGTACATAGCTGGACAGGATACATAATGTCTATGAAAAGATACGCTTTGATCAATAGAGAAAAAACACTACTGCAACATGGGTGTGCACGACTTCATACATTGAAGACCACTCTTAGAATCTCAATGTAGAAATAAATGACATAGAGTGCGAATCTTGGACTTTCTATCGCAAATTCAGGTTTAGTGGAATTAATAGCAAAATAGAACTTACGCCATGTTATATGACATCTGGCAAAAACCTGGAAAGAAACAACAGAATATGATAGATTTTGTTTTAATTTTAACATCTTAGTTTATTTTTTAATTCTCTAATAAAGTGTTGATTAAAAATATTTATTTTGCTTCGTCCCGTTAGATTTTATTATGCAATACAAGTCTTATAAGAAATCTTCAGTATATTTATATATTTATCTTTTAAATTCAATTATAATATCTCTTGAGACAAGAAATATTTGTAATAAATTGTTTCATTATAAGATTCTACGGATTTTCTTTTAATTCACATTGCGATTGGTCGTAATATCATACCCTCAAAAGAAAAATAAGATATTTTAAAATTATTGAAGGATAGGAAAACAATTATGTAAATTTCGTAACATTTGAAGAGATAAAACAATTTGAAGAGATCACGGAAAAATCAAACAGAATAAATTCAGAACAATGCGGAGATAGGGACGAGAAAAACTGGCTTTAAGATTGTCCCAAAAAGATATTTGAGTAAACTTGAATGCAATATTCAAAGAAGAAATGAATTGACCAATATGAAAGTATTTTAAGAATTTTGTGTTGCAAATGGAAACATACTCAGATCCAGACCAAAATCTGATATTGGGCGACCTGGATAAAAAATATTTCAAAGATACAAATTTAACTAAACCTCTCAAACTGTTAATCTAACAGAAAATATATTTTCCTTCATTAAAAAGGTGCATATAAAATTGGAATGCAATATTCTAACAAAGATAATTTCCAGAAAGAAATAAACTACTGCAATGTTGTTAAATCTAAAATAGTAGACGATATAAAAGATAAATAGGTGAATATGACTAAATTTGTAGACTACAAAAAAGACAATATTAACATGTGAAATAATTAATTCAGGAAGATGGAATATTCTGTTATTCATATCAATGTATACATGAAATCCACACTGCAAAGTGAGTTAGTTTCATGCCTTATGTGATCATCAGACAATGTGTCGAGAGTATGTATCCACAATATTGAGCTTTCTCCCTCCATAAATATAGAAATTGTTAATCTAAATGTTTTTGTGTGCGAGAGAAAGTCTGTATATTCTCCATTTCATCTCAACATCATAATTATTATACCAGCTAGTATATGTACAAACACACTCATTCACCAAGGTGTAGACTCACGCACAAAAAAAACATCGAGGTACATGTGTTAGCGTGTTATAGTTTGTGTATGTGTGTGTGCGTGTCTGGTGCATTGTTGCTATAGAGAGGCAAACAATTGCTTATTATAAAACCTTCTCCATATTCATTCTTTGTCTTACACCAGGTCGCTGCGCGAATTCTTTACTTAGATGCCACCACCACCAACACCACCAAAAACCCTACAACTCATAACTCTCA